CATAATGAGTAGACTCAGTGGTGCGCCAAAGGTATCTGCCGCCTGGGTGCAAACTTTTATTGACCTTCCTTTAAAATATTGAAAAACATCATTACGATCTTTCAATAATGCTCCGTCGCAAGGCCGTCGCCTCTTTTTCTGTATTATTAATGATTATACCGCATTGCATAATTCAAATTAGGTATCAGCTGCATAAAATAAATATTAAATATTTATTTTTTGTCGCTTGGCTGCGGTGTACCTCTTGCACTAGGGATTGCAAAGATTCCGAAAATAGCTCTTTGAAACTGTTATATATCGGTTCTGACTGAAACCGTTACGACGAACTGAAATAAGTTCTATAACTTTATATAAGTTATAAAGATACGACTACTTTATATATGTTCAAAACATATAAGTTTTGAAACGGCTCTATAACTTATTTTTCGGTTCTTCGTTTCAGTTCTTTATAACTGCTTCAAAAACCGGAAAATAACAGTTAAAGAACCGTGTCAGAACCGAAACCGATATACCGAATAACAATTATGGCTTATTTCGAACATTCATCACTGTTTCAAGAACCGAAACCGATGTCATAACTATTTTCAATCCCAGCTTTGCAGTCTCGGGTTGGCCCTGAATAGACTGATGTATTTACAACAAAAATATTTAGTAAAGTGAGTAGCTAAGTAATAGTGCAACCTAAGTACTGTGATACCGAATCATTAATAATTATTTATAGTGACACTTATCGTTGCAATGAAAGATTAAGCAATATTAAAATATACTTATTCGAGACTTTTTCTATTGTATTGACTAGTTTGACTTTTATTTCAGAAAGAATGTTTTGTATTTAAAATTCGTACATGTTGATTCGTACAATCATGAGATTGCTCTGTATCATATGAGTTTATTGTAGAATAAGTATCGGAATACTTCGTTTTTCTTACTGGTGATTAAGTTTTCATGACGAAATCTGTGTTAGGAAAAATGGAATATAATTCGATCAAACAATCATGAAATTGATTGAAGTCATAATTTTAAGTCAATATGAATAAATATAAATCAATTTAAAAATTCAAACATAAAATTGTGTATTTTTCATTTAAAAATTTGAATTTCATTTTTACTGAATAATTTCTAATACTTTGCCAATAATATCTATATATTGGAACTAACATGCCTAGTTAATTCATTACAGTGTATTAATAAAAAAATATTCTAAGGTAGAATGTTACCCAAATTTCAAGACAGGAAGGATTATCGTGACGTGCAGTCTAGAATTTGTTATTAACCGTAGAAATGTATTATTTTGTAAGTAGCATCTTAACGCTTTCATTAAAAAGTAATTATGTGTATCTAGTCTATTTAATACTGGAATGTCTTGATTAAATGAAGCATAATATGATTTGATAACATTGAGGAGTTTAATACGTGATAAGATTCTCTTTACAATTATCTTAAAAAATGTGTATGTTTCCTAGAAAAATTATGAGATCAAACAATAGTTGATAATCGAAAAAATTTTTCACTCTAAAAATGTTCAGTGCTTTACAATTTTTTCATAATATATCAATGAAATAATAAAACGTTATATAATCGATAATGTCTTGCAAGGATTACAAACAATATTGTTTTTCGATAGATACGGAAAAGGAAATGAAAAAAATAAAATAAAACCACACTTAGTAATTATAAATATGTATTACATATATTCGTCGTATATAAACAATATTAATAACAATACGTTTTTAAAATTAGTTCGTTTAATTTTAAATTAATTATCAGCATTAAGTGTCAACATCGTTAGAAAAGGTTAAGAATAAAAAAGGAAAGAGGGTACATTACGCGAATAGAATTTTTTTAAAGCGCAATAAATTAAAATCATTTTAATATCCACTTTCAACAACTTTCTATTTTGTTAGTTTTTAAGCAACATTTCCTGAAAATTATTAACGGACTGAATTAAAACTTTCTTGTTAGTAAGAATATACTTTTTAAATAATAAAAAATTTATCTTTGTTAAGAGCTTTGAAACGCAGATAAAAAGTAAAGAAAAATTGTGAGTTTCATTATTTCATTTAAAGATTGATTTACAGAAAAATTGTATACTGTTCACTTAAATTGCATTTATAAATATGTTAAAGTTTTATTACGACATTTTATACTTACGAAAAAGACCAATTTAAAAAATTTCATCATTTTATTTTTCAAGGAGTCACCTTCGTAATGTAATAAGTTTTCTGTAATCGATTTACTTGTCCCAGAAAAATTGTACAAATTTTGGAAACCATAAACAGCAAACTTTAAAAGCTCCAAAGTCAAGGAAAGTAATAATGAAGTAGACGTCGATAGCATTGGACTCAAAACGAAGTACACGAAAGATTGAAATCACTAGAAACCTTAAAAATGTGAAAAACTCTAAAATTTGAACACTTAAAAAGCAAACAAGGTAAAAAAAATAATTATGAAACAGACAGTAAAAGAGAATCATAGTCAAAACGAGAGCTTAGAAAAATTAGAAGTATCAAGAATCATAAATCAGCAGATTAAAAGGCAACAAAAGTCAAGAAGGACAATTATGAAGCCAGTAAAGCAAAACCAGAGACAAAACGAAGTATGCAGGTAATACAGGAAATTAAAATCCTTAGATATATTAGAAACCATAAAATTTATCAACTTTGAAAAGCAACAAAAGTCAAGAAGAATGATTACAAAGCAGGCAGTAAAGAAAAATTGTGGTCAGAACGAAGTATAAGAGAGATTAAAAGCATTACAAATATAAAAACAACAGAAATCACAAAAATCAATAAACTTCTAAAATAACAAAACTCAAAAAGAGTAATTACAAAGCAGAAACCCAAGCAAAATTAGGATCAAAATCAAATGCACCAAAATTTAAAAGATTAAAAACGGAAGTACCAAAAATCATACAATTAAAAGAACTTTGTAAGCGTCAAAAATTAAGAAGTCAAATCACTAGACCGTAGATTTATATGTAAATTTAAGTTGTTAATTCCATATTTAACACTAAACTACCAGACGGATCAAGGTGACCCATTCCTGATTTCTTCATTTTGCAATTGTTAAAAAGATAACAGATGTTTCTCTGAGAAATTATTAAATAATTTGGTTTATATATACGCAAACTGAATTATAAATCAATTAAAGTTTCGATACATGCACCCTTGAAATTTCTATAGAGGAATTTCAAAATGTCAATTTAATTGCTCGGTAGTTTTAGTGTTAGCTCCTTCATATCCCTGGACGAAATATCTCGTAACTCGATAGTAGCCGATTAACGCTTTTGACGAGATATCTCGCCACTTAGCACCAGTGGTTTGATACTATAGACGAAATATTTTATATTTTGTCTCATTTTAACCGATACGCGTATGTTTACTATGTTCTTCTATACTTTCTTATGTCGCTTGTAGTATGTTGATAAATATTGAAGTCGTGGCACGATATTCATCGTATAGGAGGTTAGCCTTGATTTGTTACTTGAAAGCGTTACAAAATGTTTGGTCGAAGAGTAAGAAATATAGTAATAAATCCTAATGGAAGCATTGATGATCAGCGAGAAACGCACGTCAGTAGTATGTATAATACTTCTACTAAGGCTGGATGAACTGCAGAAGGAAAGCAATGGAAGATTGCAACAGTTGAAGAAAATTTCGTGCCAACAGCTATAAACTATATAGATAATTGTAGCAGAGTGCAGTCACAATCGGGTATAATTCAGGATATACAAATGACTTTGTATGTATGGAAAGATAAAAGAATAGTATCAATTCTGACTACTGCACATACTTCCCATTTGAAAAAATCAACAAAAATTGATAAGATTACAGGAGACTATAAGAAAATCCAATATTGTTATAGACTATAACCAGTACTCTGGACGATGTGAATCGCATGGATCAAGTCCTCCAACGATATTCTCCTTTATGTAAGAGTATAAAATGTTATAAGAAGTATTTTTTGCATTTATTAGATATAGCAATCTATAATTCCCTCGTGACATGAAAACGCATCCACGAAGGAAAGAAAAGTTATTTAGAAATAAAAGAAGACATCTTTCGTGGTTTGTTAGACGAACATTGCGCACTACATAATAATCGAGGAAGAAAGTGAAATGAAAAACATCCACTTTGATTGAAGTCTCAATGCTTCGTTACAACAATACGGTAGACGTCAAAGAAAAAATGCCCACCAGAACGTTGCGTCGTATGTAAACAAAACGGAGCACCTAAGGAAGCATTTTCGCTTAATACGTAACACCATGTCTTGAATTGTATCATGTAGAAAGTAAATGAAATTAATTTCAACAAATTAATAAAAATTGAATTTATTTCATCCTTTTAGCCATAATAATAGAATCAGTTACAAAATATATTTCAATGTCAAAACATTGGCGCTAAGTATCGAAATTTATCATCAAAAGCGTTAGTCGGCCAGGTTGCGAGTTATCTCGTCAAAAGCATTAACCGGCCAGTACAGGGTCGCGAGATATCTCGCCCAGGGATATAAAGAGGTTAAAGAAATAAAATTATCATGGAAAATGATATTTCCTACAAAACCACTACACTCTGAATATTTATAATTTTACATATTTCCTCGTATGCATTCCGTGCAACCTTGCATTCCCAAACTTCCCAAAAATGCATAAAAATCCGTTATAATCCCGAAGCAGGCGAGAAATGAAAATCCGGGTTAGAAGGTATTGCGCGAAAGCAAGATCGTTCGATTGTGAAAATCTCTAATCGTCCTCGTCTCGTATTCCGAGGACGCTGTCGTCGCGGCGTGTTCCTCCTTCTGTCTCGTGGATCTTGCTAAATCAACGCGTTGACCTACAGCTACCGAGACGATCAGGGGCACGACAGGTCGGTGGGTTAGGCCCGATTAGACTGTCAATGAGGTGTCCAGCTGTGCCCATCCTGTGCAACGCGGTAACAATTATTACCGCACGCCGTAACAGTCCCTCCTTGTCCGTGTTCCAGCACTTTTTACCAGCCCCACCATTCGCATAAACACAGCAGTGCGGTGCACGGTTTCCAGCGTTTAGTCGCTACTTAACTGTGCTCGTTTGACAGCGTTCGTTTCCTCGTCCGTCACCACCGAACAGTGTCCCTCGTTCGCCAGGCCAACGACACGTTTCATCATTCCTCCGTTTGCCCCTTCGATTTCCCCGAAAATCACCGATGAGGTGGTTCTTGCTGCGACTCGTCGGGAACGTTCGAGGAACCCGGCGGAGCTGGCCCGTCAACATCGAATTCCCTTGGACCTCGTGATCCGAGAGCGACCCGAGATGAACAGGGGCTACGGTTATCGAGACTCGAACCGTTCGGACGTTCACCGTTTCCGTGTCGTTTCGCGGGCGAATACTTCGTAATCGATTGTCCGCGCGGGCGCGACGTTATCGCAGCGACCACCGAAAGCGAAATCCGTGCGAGCCGGTGGCCGCTGGTGGCAGCGAGGTGGAAAGGAAAGACGGTGGCGAAAAGGAAGTGAGTTTGAACCAGTGGAGTCGGCCTCGATAGACACCGCGCTAACGAGGAGAACAAAGCTCGCGCGTCGGTGGAAGAGGATCGGTGTCGTCGCGGTAAAAGCGGGTCAAGGTGTCAAAGACGTCAGGCAGCGGTCGCGAAGATATCGGCACAAGGTGTTAGCGGGCTGGTGTTCCCTTAGGAAAACAAAGTGTCACGCGACACTGTTAACGATCGACGGGCTCCCCCTCCCCCCATATCAGCGCCTCGTGATCGTTAATCGACGATCGGGGATCATCGTGTTTGGACTTTCTCAGAGTCATCGTCACGCGACACCACTGTCAACGATCGGCAGGGAGCCGTGCCGGGAAGCAATTGTGAATCGTGCCCGGCACGCATTGCCAGTCAATCGCGAGTCACCCGTTCCGGCGATCGGTCCATACTAATCGTGTCCTGAACACCGAAACGATTCGATCGACTACTTTCGCAACTCGCTTTTCCTACCATCGATCCCTATCGAGGGCGAATCGTGAAATTGATTTGGTGAATCGGAAAAGATCGGGAACCGGTTCCGTCGCGGATACAGTTCTGGGAGTTTCCTCCAGCCAGGAACTTTGCTCCGAAGAGTTTTCGCCGTCGAGATTTAAAATTTTTCCAGTGTGTTCAGTAGACCGTTAGAACCACTCGGGCCGCGCGTTGACTACATGGAGCGTCTCGACGTTACCGGGAATTGTTCGGTTCCGGTCCGCGAGAGCACCGAGTCCTCGGGTCGCGTTTAATCGCGTGGATGCGAATCTCTGTGGATTTATTGGGTATCGTTGATAACTGAATTATCGGTTCGCATCAATTTACATGTGACGTCCGGCCACCGATTAGAGGACACCAAGACCATTTTCGACTGGACAGGGATCGGCCGGGGGTGAGTTCCCGTCGAACGAACCTTTCGTCGTGCTTCCACAGCCTGTAACTCTGTAGCGAACGTCTACGCGTACCGTCACACGAGAAGGTGCTCGATATGGAAATCGATATGAGCGGGAGGACAAACAAATCGTCCGAGGAATTAACGAAAAGACGCGTCTCCATTAGCGATCAGATCCTCGGGGTGGATAATCCCACCTTTGATCATCATCGGCGCATAAGCGCCAGCTCAGACCACAATTCCGATCAGGGCCGAGGCAAATCGATACTGGCACACGGGGGTAGCAACTTCAGCAGTTCGGAGAATATACCGCAGCACAAGTTCGATCTTGAGCACGGCAAGATCAACGGGAACAGGAAGAAGTCCGCGTACAGCTTGACCAGCTCTATAAGAGACAAGATCGAGTACTCCGAGGAGCTGGAACGGTAAGTTCCGAAAGAATTCCTTTTCTTTCGGGAATTGCGCCGCGATTTAGAGGGACGTGATGTTAGCGAGGAGTTTAACTTGTTAACTGTGGAATTTAGTTTCAAAAGTTTGTCATTGTGCGCGCAATAAAATCAGACAATCAAATGTATACTTGTCAAACGTAGGTCAAATGCGTATTCCAACGAAAAATTAAAACAAAACAAAGAAGAATTACACGTTTATTTGAACAAATAAATAATTTATAACTTAAAGAATCAGTATCATTTCGAGCTTTAAGATGACGCGTATACTCGTCAAACGCAGTTAACTGGTTAACGATTTGACGGTCATATTAGTTATACGTGAATGATGCGATTCTTTGTACGTTTGAAAATGAACTTTTTGGCAACTGTGAGATTCGGGAAGATCTAGGCGGATGCTAGTGTCATGAATAGACTGAGGGTTTTTATAGATTTGTGGGAAGTTTGAAAATAAAAAATTCTACGGAAGCGATACCAAGAAACATAAAATACCTGAAGTGAAGTACGCTTTTTAATATTTGTGAAGGAGAATTATTTTCATTTAAATAAATATTTCATTTATGGAATTCGTTGAGTCTTTCGATTAATTTCACATTTGATAACAATGTTTTAAAATTGTAAGTATAAAATTATTATACATACTTTTATACAAAGTTTAGGATTGCCTATGACAATCACAACGTATACAAAAGGTAATAAACTATAAAATAGTATAGAGTATATTATTGTATTTATTTAATTTGTGTAGCACGGTATACTTATTTTTTAAAAATACTGACGTTTTATTCATTTTTTAATACAAACCGTTGCTTTTAAAAATTTAGTGAAATTACTTCAACATAATTAACACAAAACGTAACGTACACGTAAATTAACAACTGTTTATGTACATGTTTTCCTTTGTTATGAAACATCGATTGTTAAAACTTCTGTCACATGATGTAGTATCTTATACTCGAAAATTGTAACGTTAGATAAATGACTGATGATAAGAAATAAAATGAGATTACAACGTCGATTACAATCGCAGAGTTTATTTCCCGTATTTACTTACGTAGTTCATTAATGACTTTAAAAAATGTCGCCACTTATTGTAATTACTTTTGTAAAAAAGATAAAGGTGACGCGTTTTAATAATAACTGTTTTATGAGTAAACGTTACACAATTAATATTATATAACAATGTACCATTCGTTCTATAATTTTGCGACGTAAATGTTCTTAATCACTCGCGACATTTGTCACATTAAGAATTCGGCTCTGACAACGTAATTATGAAATATCCTTATTTTATTTCAACATCCAGCAATTATGAAGCTCTAATTGAATAATAAGAATGACAATGATACGCCGATTGTGTAGGATTAGTTACTCAGATTAATAATGATTGAGAATGTATAATTGACAATCAATCGGAAAATATTATTCACCAAGGTACACTCCCGTTTGTGAGTCAGCCGACACTTAAAACGGTAAATGCAAGATAATGAGAAGTCGTTAAATCGTAAATTGAAAATATTAAGTAATTAAGCTCAGTTTTCAATACAGCTACTGAATTTTCATATGTAATCAGTAACAGTACGTTTGAATTGTTTTAAGTTGAATGAAGTGCAAAATACATTACGCCATTACAAACTTATTGTAACATTCCACTCTTGAAAAACAATAATCGTTTTTCAGAATAATTTTCAAAAATACAGTTTATTGCTCAAATAATAAATTTATGTAAAAATAAAATTTTCTGACATAATTGGTGTATAAATCTACTTTATTATTTGTATAAATCTACTTATTTATTTATATTACAATTTATATTTTCTTCGTGAGTAGCTTATTTTAGTAACTTTATAATTTTTTAGTATATCCTGTTTAATAATACGTAGTGCAATTTAGGACAGAAAGACGCAAGTTATTTAGAACTCGAACAATTAGGTCTACGAAACTTGTGAGTACTCCTCGAGCTGTTTACACACGCGCGAATTCCAACGAGTGCTATTCTCGTGCGTCGGATTAAAGCAAATGAGACAAAACTATTTGAGGTAGGCGATTCTAATAAAATTGATTGTAACGGAGCTAGGAAGCGACACAGAGATTGTGATGTAACAGTCGCAGTTACAAAGCCTGTCATTTCCAATCGCCTTGATAAGATCATAAAGTCTAATGAGATTAAATCAACCGCAGTGCTCAGTTTCCTATGGATTTCATTGTATCCGCATTTCAGAAACTGTGCACCGTGTCACTTTTGGAATCTTCAAGGAACGTTTTTATTTCGTTCGTTTAATTTCAAACGTAGGGAAGAGTAGAATTAAAAGGTACAAAGTGTGCGCGACAAAATCGTGGGAAATCCGAAGGTCGTGTTCAGTATCTTGTAATTTCTGAGCCACAGTTACATATTACTCGAATTGTTTCATATAAATATCAATTTGAAGTATCTTTTCGAATGAATTCTTGTTAAATGAATAAAATCACTATCATCTGACTATTGTAAATACTAGTCATGTTAATTATTTATATCTTTATTTGAATAAATAATTCATCCCCATTTATTGGAGTCAATTTATCGAAAAATTTGGAAGACAGCAAACAATTTTCAATGTGTATTTCTTCATATTAATATGTTAATATTTAACTGATACTCTTGAAGAGACTATTTTATTATAATTTATTAAGAAATAATAAATCTACAGAATGCAGCATTGGAGGAAATTAATTAGAAACGTGAAAATAATTATTGAAATTGTAGGCGGAAGAATAATGATTCTATTATTACGTTCTATGAAATTAACAAGATATTCTTATAAAAAGTGATATAAATATGTAGTTTGAACAACGAGTAAATAATAGTGAATAGTAATAATAAAAAAAGTATAGTATAAATTTGTTCAATAATGTCCTAACGTAATTGTCTAACGGTATATCAAATGTCAGATATTTCTAAAATTTAACATTTAGATTAGTATTAATATTACAATATTTTTTATAATTACTTCAAGAAATACATTAAAAATATAGAATATACTCATTTCATTTTGATCCCTTTAGCTAGAAAATGAAATAAAAAATGTATAGTACCTTTTCTAGAAAGAGAAATTTAAAAATTTGCGTCGCACTTGAAGTACTGTATTTAACATGTAAAAATACTTTAAAAACGTAAAATGAAATATTTTAATTTGAAATATAATCATTTTCGAATGCTTCTGCAGTTAATTAACTTTCAACGGATCATATTCATGTAGAATAACCCCGTATTAATTGTACCACTTACAATTAATTCGTGCAATTAACGAAGTGAATCGGTCGGCACTAATTAAACTTCACTCTATATTTTCAATTCACTTTTGCATAAAGTCTTGATTGTATATGTTGGTAAAGTATTTATGTAAAATATATTTAAAGTACATTATAAATATAATTAAAATACTTAAAACTATAATTATCAGTATTGCATTTTAATATAGTCTTCAATAATTGTCTACTGTTTTACGTAAGAGTATACATACGTAATTTATGGGTATTAATATTTAAATTGACCTTATAAGACCAATATGAAATTGAAATCTGTATGTAATAATACATTTGAATGTAACTGTTTCTAATATCCACAGAAACTACAAGTGGAATTTTTAATTGTTACTTAAATAAAGACTATATATTTTCATGTGATTTAAAGCAATTAAATTTCGTTTAATTAAATGTTAGCTAATATAAGTTACTATTTCGAAAGTAAAACTTTAATAGTGTTTAATTTATAAAGAAGTTTGTAATTATTTTAATTCAACTTATAATTTTTTTGCAGATAAATAATTATTTCTATAACAAACTTACAATTGATTAAATAAGAATACTCGATCATAGGAAACTTTATTTGATATCTATAAACTGAGTGAATAGATAAACGAATAATAGTAGTATTGTGATTGTCGTAGAGAAGAATATCTCGAGAGAATCATAGTTAATGCAATTGTCGAGAAATCAAATCAGAAGACTACTGAAGAGTTTGTAACAACATGAGATAAAATTAAATGAGAACGCACACTGTCAACCGTTATCTAGTTCCATATCAATTAATTTTTATAATTCCTCCAATATTGTCTTTTAAGCGTATGACTTATAAACTTGCCTTCTTTGAAACAATATTAGCCAGAAAATGGAAACTATGTGAAGTTACTTCTTGTCACAAAATATAATTTTTGTACAGTATGAAACTAAACTTGAATACATATAGTAAATCAAAATCTAATGTAAATATAGTATATTCGAAAAATAAGTAGAATATAAATAAAATGTTGTCAATACTCATTTATATTTATTCAAGATGAATTAACACTTAGGTGCTTTAAATACAAAATTATAAATTTTATTCGTTGATATTAGGTAAATTATATTCATGTTTAAGAACAATTAGGTAATAAATATAAATTAAGAAAATTAAACAATTTTACTACACGTAAACAAGAGTTTAAAACAGAACTGGGCATTATGGAAATAAAATTTTTATTTTATTTATTATATTATTTAAATTAATGTTATTCAAGTAATAATATTATTTAAGTAATATTGTAGTTGACAAATAAGTTCTTTTAATATTTGTTATTTCATTATAGGTCTAGACATTTATTATTTAATTCCACCATGAAAATAATGATGTTTTGAAATTGGTAATTGAAATAATCAAATATTCGGCAAATACATCATTTGAAAATAGTTTAATTTCAAAAGTAAGATTGTAAAACTTATTTACATAAGTTCTCATTTTTATTTGTCTTTTCCATGTATTTCCGATTTATATAAAGAATGACTGTCTCGTCTTCGAAGTGAACGCAATCATTTTCTTTCTATTAGTTCTGCATAGTCAATTCAATAGATAACAATACATCGCGAGAAAGTAATTCGTCAGGCATCGTTCCACGCACAGCCGCAGGTTCTTCGTGTTTCCTCCATATAGTGGAGGATGAAACTTAAGCATCAGAGCTCACAATTAGTATGGACTACTTAGTTTAGATCTAAAGTACCATTTTAGATGTTAGAAACAATCTGAAAAGTATACGAAAGAGTTAATAAAAGATTATATTGCACTATACAATATGTAATTATGTAAATTAAAATATTCTCTTTCTAACCAAGTAAAATCAATTATTAACAAATTAGTTCCTTATTCTTTCCGTCGATCGCAAATATGATAAAATTTATATTAAATTTTCATTAACGCTAGAATTACTGTACCAGTTAAAATGGCTGGTTTTGGTTCTTTTGTTTCTCAATTACTGATATCCTCAAAGCATAGAATATCCGAAATGATCTTGAAAATAGATAGATTCACTTGAATACTATAATGAATGTCTGAAGAAACTGAAAATAATTTACTCTTACAATTTGTATAGTGATTACATGTTAATTGTATTCAATGCTCGGCAGTTCTAGTATCAAGGATGCAATTTCATTTTAATCTACACGTGTGTACAGTTAATGGAAACGTAAAATTTGTACATTATCAATTATGCCTGAGGAATAGCTTTAATTTCGGTGACATAGGTGACTCCTTACTTTCTCTTTTTTGTTAAAATTTACTGGATTTTATTAAATGTATTGTTACTCGTCGTGCTCGTTATAAATTTTACAGTGAAACAATAATGAATATCGACGCAAGTATAATCTAAGGAATAGTTTCGTTTCCAAACTTTACATCTGACGCGTTTCACTGGTATATTGACTTTACTTCCTCTCTTTCTTCGACAACTGCTTCTACCTCGATTTACATAGAACTTTTAAATCAACACTCCAGAATTCGCACAATCTATTTGTATTTCATATTTCCGACTTCCTCGTCCATGCCTTTGATTTCATATTTCCTGATCTTCTCATATTATGAGTTAAAATATCTGAAATATCGAACTTAAAAATATATTATATGGAAGTTATTGTATTTGTAGATCCTGGACGATTTTGCAAATTTTCATTTCTAACATTTTTCATTGTGAAAATAAGAATTGTACAAAAATTTACACTAATTATTTTATTAGCATGTATATAACATGAATTCAAATATACAGGTTGTCCAAGAGCAGGTGGTCAACAATCTCTAGAATATAATTCTATGAGTAAAAATAAATAAATTAAATAAATTAGACTGAACAACGTATTAATTACGTTATGTGCATAAATATATCACATATGAACCAACTTTGTTCAATCCTACATATAATGCAGAAAATAATATTAAATACTGCACAATAAAGAATTTGGACACACGAGATTACCAAAATTATTTTATTTGTTTTATACACAGTCAAATACATTTAGATGTGACATTAATTTGACATTGTTAATTTTTAATAAAAGCAGAATAATTAATTCTAAGAAACTTTAAAGAATAATTTTGAAGTGTGTTTGAAGGAAAAGCAATTTGCAAATGTAATTAGAATATCAACTACAACAATCTTGAATAACTTGTTTCTCAAAAAGCAATTCGCAAGGGTGATTAGAATGTCACGTACGACAATCTTGAATGACTTGTTTCTGAATCAACATCTTGGCATGTCAGAAGCTATATTGTATCTGAGTAACGATCCATTCATGCACCAAAGCAATAATACAATGACTGTATACGAAAAATAACATAATTACTTAAGTCATGTAGTTTCTAAACGTCCAATTACTGTTTGCAATGTTCAAATCAAAAGGAAAAAGAAAATAGCCGCCGAGGAAATAATTTTCCAGACATTAAAAAGAATAAATTATTAGTTATTATTTATTTTGACACAAAAGAAAGAATTCAGAAATTTGCGAACTCTATATTAGTTAAGGAAGAATATATTTAAAGATTAAAATGTAAAATATTAAATTTAAAGTATTAAAATTAATAATTCAAATGTAAATTAAATAAACAAGATTACTTGTGAAATTTTAAAATGTAAAACTAAATGAATAAAAACTGAATTTACCATATAAACAATATTCATACAAGATTCAATCGATTGCGAATGGTTAACTTAAATAAAAATTAATTAACGTAGTAATTGTACAATTTTTAAAACGAAAAGTGAATTAATAAAAATTTAATTTGTTATATAAGAAATAAGTTTATTTAAATAAAAATTAAATGAATAAACTAAACGTAAAGTTTTACAGAAGAAAGTTGAATAAATAAAATCCCTAGCTGTTATATAAAAATAGGTGTTCATATAAAATTCAGTTTAAAAAGAATAAAATAAATATAAATTACATGAAAAAAGTAATTAACACGTCAACCGCCACGTTGCTAATATATTTTGTTAGATCTACAAAAAGGAAGAAAATTGAAACAGCAATCTCTGAAATATCTTGACTTTTCAGTTTCTGTTTCCTTAGAAAAATTGCTCTGATTGCACAAGTAAATTAATGAGTGTCGATTAGGCGGTCAATATGTTAACACTAATCGTACCGGCACTTTTCCTACCGTAACCAGTCAAACAACTGGTTGCAAAATAAAGGTAAACAAGCTGGATGGTCAATTCTTTTATTTGAAATAGAAACAAAACTAAAGACAAGAATCGGAAAACTGATTAATTAAACAATATAGGTTTATATAAAATTAAATGAACGAAAAAAACACAGTATTTCAAATCTGGTCATTTGACCGGTTCTCGGTACGGTTAGTGTTGATCAATGAGATCTATGGAATCTAAGAAGTGAGTAATTGATTCTTAATGTTTGTTTCAGGTCGTGGTTATACCTGTTTTGTGCGCGATGCCACGGTCGCGACGACACACCATCATGGGAGCCGCCAGGCTGGAGAAGAGCCTGTCCTCAGCCATTTTGTCCCAGCTACAGAAAATTTGCCCGGATTTTATGTCTCTTCCTGTTAGGGCTGCTATTCTGGGGCATCGTCTACGCGGTGATCGGCGACGACGCTGCCCCTGGCGGGCCGCTGTTCGGTCTGGCCACCCTTTGTATAATAGCACACTTCGCAGGATGGTTGTTCTCCTTGACCACCCTTCCTGCTTTAATCGGCATGCTGATTACTGGCATCATACTTCAGAACGTCGGCCTGATTCACATTGAGGGCAGATACTCCACCTGCATTTCTAACCTCCGGTGAGCTTCTTATTTGTTTTTCTCATGTTATTACCTGGTTATTTTGTTGTAACATAAACGAATGAGGGCCCAGCAGAAGGACCTATATTACATTCCATAGATTTTAGAGTATGGCAGAGAAACATTACTACTTACTGTAGTAATTGGATGAATGATGTAACATGTGCCTTTCTCTAAAATGAAAAATGAAAATATTAATTCTATAGTTACAAAGTAATTTGTTACTTTTTAAAAACACAGAATTGGAGCTAGTTCTTTATTTTTCTTTGGTGACAGGCAATGAATTTTTGTATAGAATCAAAAATTATTAGGTTCTATTGTGTCGACTGAAAGAGTATAGCCGAATAAGCAAGGTAAAAATGCCTCTAAATCAAATTGACTGGGGTATATACCATTCGATAAATCCTTCAAGAAAACCTATGTAAAATGTCAAGTCGCTACCCCTACTGCTAGGATAGTTACGGGATTAATTTAAGCGTAGTTTCTTTCGTTCTACTTTATAGAAAATTATGAAAAAAATCAATAACGTTTTACAAGTTGATTCACATATTTGTAAATTGTTTTGGAATTTTTTGTTGAAAAGTGTGTCGAAGTGGAATATTATTATTTTACTGTAAGTGTTTAACCTTTAGAGTAAACGTTTCAGAATAACATTGATTAAATTATGTAGTTTAGATAAAAAATGTTTAAGCAAGCAGTTAAAAATACTTCGATACAGTATAGTCATTACTAAATTTTTTACTTTTATACGTGTTCATATTTTTAAGAATTAAATGCAAACATGATAAAATAAACATTAATATGACACAGTAGTAGAAAAAAAATAAAAATAGAATAAATATTTTGTCTCATATAAAAAACAAAGTATTTCAATATGTACATATGCGTAGAAGAAATACACATATGTGTAATATGCAATTAATAAGGGAATCAATAAAAGAATTCATTTTAATTAAAATTAGACAAGTCTTCGACTTTTAATTTAAGAAAATGAATTAATCGATTATAACAGTATTTGGTTATTTTTGAATTTTATGAAACATTCTTTGAAAATCGAAATCTGCATAAATACACGTGACATTACTGATAATGTCTAGCCGACATTTGGCTTTCGCCAAAAGGAAATTTAACGTGTCACTGTCTTGATGGACATGATAGGAAAGTTTATGTGTGGTATTGTCAATAAGAGTTCTAATTTACAAGTATGAGACATCGATGCAGACTCTCTTGTGTATGGTTGAACGACATTGTTGACCCGTACCACCTAAAGGGTTAATTATTATGCTGTTGCGCGTGACTACAATTAGGCTTAACTGGGCACGTGATTAAAATCATGTGCCGTTACGCAGACATTACTTCTTCGACTGAATTTGTAAATGGAACATCATCATTTCGTAATTGAAATTTATTCTCTTGCCGTCTGTCAATGGTATTTGTTTCGCATCATCACGCGGATTTCATCAAAATCAATTATTTGCACCACACCCATTTAATATGAAGTACCAGGAAACAGTATTAATTTTAATATATTTTTCTAACTGCTTTATGATAAACATCAAACTAGAAGGATGAAAATATAATGAAACGACTGTACGGTGGAAAAATGGGAAGAAAATAATGTGGAAGTTAATTAAAAATATTTGAACATTTTGTAATCATTCTTACGACTAAGTTATAATAATGATCAAAGACGCATAAAATTTACAACAAAACAAATAATGTCATTTTGTAAAATTTCGTTATTAATATTTCATCTAAAAGGACTAAAAAGTAATATAGCAAAATAGAAATAGAGTATAGTACAATGATAATCAAGTAAAAATTAAATAAGTGAGGAGATATTGAACGAAAATAATTTCAGTTTTAATAGTTGAATAATAATAGAAATAATTAATAAGGTGCTAACTGATATTTGTTTATTAAATGCTTACTTAACTACGTAAAATACTCTAAATAAAAAAAAATTTAGTCAGGCTCGAAAAAGTTCTTGTTTTATAAATAAATCAGATGTTTCCATACTTTTTATTTTTGTAAAATAAAATTTCTGTATAAATTTATTATTTCAATTGCATTTTTATACAAAACTGAAGTTGATACAAATTGTATAATAAATACGTTTCAATATTCCATATCGAAATCAAAAATTGATTCGACCAGTGTAAAAATAGAAAGGTACACTTCACAATAAAATATTTTTTTAACCTTAAACTTACTCTCTACGTCTTAATTAATTTTCGCATAACGAATAGAGATACATTTTGATCCAATAATGATTATTGTAGTGTTTATATATTTTGTTATTTATTAGTTTATGCATATAAATATATATTCATGTAACTATAAGAATAATACAGTTAAAACTAGGTATAAATTTTAGTATACTCATAATTCCTTCTTGAAATGGAAATTTCATTATCACCATCCGAAGATTAAATCGGCACGAGGTAAATTGTATAATTACTACACATTACAAAAGTATAACATTAAATATAATAAATCTGAATTATGAATTATGCAATTATGTAACAGAAGTAACAATATTAGAGCAAATGTAATAACCAGATTACATGTAATAAAGTATAATATGAATCTTCGGACATTCGTGTCGATCAACTTCCGGTAACGTTAGACACCGAACTATATTATGACATGTCCGTTTACGATTGCGTAGGAGATCATCGACGTTTCAACGCACGCATTAACCATGAATACTGCCGGCGACAAGCGACAAAAGATATCTAGAAAGTCCTCGAAGCAATGATCGGCTCATCGCGATCTAAAGGTGACCGCTTTTCCCTGTCGAGGCCGGACAATAACGATGCGTCGTGGACACACACAAAAATACTCGCGCGGCATAGTAATCGCGATTTCAGAAGTAGAGAATTCAAGGTGCATCCTTGCTGGCAATCACCTTTAATTAGCTATCTATCAAAATGTTCCACTTTGCAAAGGTCGAATCGTCGAGACAGCCTGCTCTTCAGTTTCCAGGGAATCGAACCGTGATTCCTATCGATTGACAGTGTCCTTATAAATATTTCTCGCTGTCTTTTATCAATTTCAAAACACTTGGAACTTCGAATGCTACACAAACATTTACAGTAGGTCAAGAATGTATTATACATTCAGACGTTTCATAATGATATCACGTTATGAATAGCATATTGGTATAATCTGAATTTTTTTAATACTGACTCATACGCAACAACAATGTATTTTTTAAAGAAGATTAATAATTTAATATTTAAAAGTAATGCGAGAATAAAGAAAATTTTGGAAACAGTATTTGTGCACTGCTAATTGATAAAAGTAACTATACTGTTAATATAGACACGTGATATGGAAAGCACTAAAAAATTAATTTGTAACTTGTAACACTTGTAAGCGAAGTGTTAGTATACTTTATTGCAAGTGTCATTATTCAAAAAAATAATCCAAAGCGTTATTGACTTATGCTAATTCATATTTGTATAATTAATGTTAGTTCTAAGCGTGACAGGTTGTAATAGAAGCAGATGTTTATTGATTAAAGTGCATTAGAGTAAGATAAATTATATGCTTCAATCATTAGCTTCCACACTTCATTGAAAAGAGAAGTTTTATGAACATTACCTTTCGTAAGTTATCGGATAGTTTAATCAATAACTATATACAAAAATGAATCGATGTGAAGTTTGGTGAATAGTAAAGTTTACACATTAATATGTATTAATTTTTTCTAGTTGAAAAGTGTTTAACTGGAAACTAGGCTGTAATCACTATACAGAATAGAAAGCATGTTGAAAGGGAAGTACTTTTGTTTTCAACATTTTTTGTTTACATAAAACTTAAATCTTTTATTTACATAACCTTTAAAAAATATACATGAATCGTATAAACCTTTTATTCGCAGAAGAACTTCTTTTATTTAAAAAATTAATTAAAGTTAATTTAAGCTTCAATTCAATAACATTCGTAAATTATTAAGTTGATAGTACATGCGCAGTGACTGGGTTTTTCCGTTACATATTCGAAAACATAGAAAATGGCACCCATGTACAAAGTGTTAATGTACCTTTCAAGTTATCATCTTATAACTGTATCACAGTTTATATTATCTCTAGTATAATCAGGCGTTTGGCAACCCACGAACAATAAAATACAGTCTGATCCATTCATTCAGACATGGTGTTCTCCTGTCAGCGCCACTTTCAAGGATTTTCTATTCACAGCGGCTGACTATCACGTCACTGACCAAACTGTCGATTCAATCCGTCGAACTTGACAATTCTCTGAATCATATGTGTTAACCTTGCTTTAATAACACCGCATCGTTACGCATCGTCATTAAAACTCTGGTATTTAATACCCAATGCAAACGTTATTACTTTAACACGCTTATATACAGGGTGTTCTTAGTACACATTAACACTAAAACTACCAGACGGGTCAAAATAACCCATTCCTGATTTTTTCTTTTTGCAATGATAAAAAGGTAACACATGTTTGTCTGAGAAGTTATTAAAGAAATTGATTTAATAATACCCAAACTTAATTATAAATCAATTAAAGTCTAAATAGATGCACTCTTGGAATTTCTATAGAGGAATTTCGAAATACAACATTTCATATACAACTCATTAAACTCAGTAAAACAATAAATATAAATGGTAACGCAATAAATACAAAAATTTATTTAAATAGTAAATGTTATTTGTAATTGTAAATATCTAGCTTTCCTAGAAATTAATTTTATAATTTAGTTACTTAAATATTTAACCAAATTATTTTTTAATATAAACAAATTGTAGAGCAATCTACAAAATTCATTTCGTAACGAATTACTTTAACATTATGCAACTAATCATAAATTTTGTTTATTTCTGAGAAAACATAATAATTTCTATGCTTTTATTTGAAATAAAAGGATACAAATTTTAAAACATTTTCATTATAACAGTTCATTCGCTTTATAAGATTTCCCATGTTCTTCTGAAGTGTAATAATTTCATTACAACGCAACT